AGATCAACCATTAAAATGGTTAAAATGGTAGTTGATTTCTTTAAATTTATTAACCATTAATGGTCAACCAACCATATATGTATATATATATATAAAGCAACCATTAAAAACGGACAATGTTCACTATCAAAGTTTGGGATTTATATAGCCATCAAACATGAGTGAGTTAACTTTGATTTAAGCATCAAAATGCTGATTTAACGAACAATCCAGGAGAATAAGTATAGAATATATAACTGCATATGTAGATAAGATCCGGCAGATCTTCACCGGAAACCATGGCGTTTCCCATGAAATATCGGGGTTCCTCTCTTAACTGTCCCTTAAACCAATTGACTTCCCAGGTTTTTCTGACCTCCCATAGTGGTTACCCCTTTGATTTTATCAACCCTGGGGATCTCTCCGGAGATGGTCCGGGGTGGAGGCTGGATATCAACACCTCCATCCCCTTGATGTTAAATACCCCCATTGTACGGGGGGGTGTTTAATGGCAACGGGTGACAGGGGGAAGGGATTACGCTTGGAGAGTTTAGTCTGAACCTGGTTCTTGATTTCGAAACTTCTCCATGTTTATCCCATTTTTTGATCAGCTTCGAAAGGGGTAGTTATGGTAGCGCAACCATCAACCAACTCATTGTTGTTCAAGAACAGTTGGGGGGTTCCTGAAATAGAGCTACACCCAGTCATCATCATCATCCATTTTTGTTTGGGATTTTCCATGAAATAAACGATCCATTTGGGGGTACCAGGAAAGCCCCAGTTGCCGCATCACCAGGCCTCTCAGGATTTGGTGGAGCAGTTTACCGAGGCAGGATGGTTTATGGTTTACCTCATCGAAGATGGCCTTAAAATGCCTCGGCTTCAAATTCGGTGATGGATTGTGAAATGAGTGAACAATGAGTGTAATTCGAGTTCTAAATTCATTTTTTTTTGCTATCCAACGTATTTAACATAGTTACTGAATGATTGCGAAATGTTAGATAACTGTGGTAACTTAGGGATGCCACAATTTGCACAACCGATCTGGCGGGAACCTGAAAATTGGGATTCCAAAAGGATTTTGCTCTTAGCTTTGTGAGTTCCATATGAAAACCTGGAGGTGGAAGGGAATGGTGTGTTTTGCCAATTAGAGAACGGCTTTGAATTAAGCAGAATGGAGCCTGGCCAGCAAAACAGATGTAAAATTTGCTTTTAACAACAATAAAGGCTTGACCTCATTGTCACCTTGCCAAACCTCTGTAGATTTAATCAACCACTCCAAAATGGTCTCAACGCTGCATGATCCCGGTTCTATCAAACGGTTTTCTGAAGATAACCAAAAAGTCACATGACTCTGCAGAACAAGTTTGCTGGTTCCATCAGGGGATGTTGTAGGTATAGTGATTGGTTCAACTAAGGTAACTGTAGTAATTAATAATAATATGTAATAATCTATATTAACAACATGTTATGTTCAACTAAGGTTAATATAGATACATATAGACATATAGATACATAATGTTTTTTCTTCAGTTGTATGTCAAGGGATGGGAATGTCAACGGGTGGTTTCAAATGGCCCCCGCTTTTCCCCAGATATGAGAGATGATTGAGATCAATTTGCCACGGCATTTATATTAGCCAAGCAGGAAAAAGTACAAACACATGTGGTATTTTGATGTATTTTGCTCAGGTGTCCCGAAAAAAACATATCCTTGTACCTTGTGCATGAAGACACTCACCACTTCGAATGAGAATTCTGTTTGAACATCACCTTCGTTGCCGCTACCAATGCTGGGCAAGCTCTGAACCCAAACAATTTATCCCGGAGGCCCCCATTGATGGTGAATTTCCAACGTTTCTGTTTGGTTTTGGCCAATTTTCTGTTGAATCAAGATCTTCCAATGTGTTGGTTGAAAATCGAATCTACCATGTTTATCTAAGGTTGTCTCAAAACATGGGGCCACAAAATCCCAGGGTCCATCATCGTTTTCTTCAGCGAAAAGTGCAATGTTGCCGTATCCCTCATTCTAGACAAGTTCAACTATCATATTCAATAATATGGTTGAGTATATATATATATACAATTAATAAATACATATATATATAATGATATGTATGTCACACATGGGATTGCAGGGGGTTGTCTGAAAAGTATTGAAAAGTGGGTACCGTACCTCATCCCACTGGTTTATCTTCATGTTCATCATAAACGTGGCCATGAATAGGGAGTACTCCCTCGCATGTCCGCAGAAACCAACAATATATCTATATATATAATATTATATATATATATATATATTATCGTCCTGAAGTAGATAGAATGTTGAATTTCAATGATATTCCAATTCTACCGTTAAATCCATATTCTATGTACTCTAGGATTAATGCATATTCACCCTGGAGTAGATATAGATTATGTATATGAATAGATACTCCAGTAGTACACTCCAGTATAAAATGTGGAAAACCCAATCACAAACCACCCCCAAAACATCATCAACGGGTGGGATTTCAACCATCCCTAAATGGTAGGTCCATGACAGTGGGTTTGCCTAATGTCTTATTAGATATATGAATACATATCCATGTCCACCCAAAGTACTTAATAATAATATACCATTATATATAATATATATATATGTTATTAACATGACAATAATAACAACAACAATAGTAATAACAAGAACAATTATGTTTATAATATAATAACAAGATTTATGTATTATCTCACTATAACTTTGCATCAAAGTCTTTGTCTCCATGCCCCCAAGGCGCGGAATGCGGAAGCGAAAAAAAGCACCAGAGAAATCAAGATACTCGGCTCTACCAGCAATGAGTTTCTATGGGGATTGTGAAAAGGGGGTTGTACTGGGGATGATGCTAGTAATCCAATATATGGGTGTATAAACATGTAGATATATATTATATATATATAATATTATGATATGCACCCGGACAAGTTGTCTTGCAGGCGGAAAAAAGTCATATTATGATATAGTTTGATATAATTGAGATGCATTTTTAAATTACACTCTGGTGAATTAAGGCAGTGCTATTGAAAATCATCCTTTTCAATAGGTAAATCATCCATTTACATGGATTATGTTCCATAGCTATGTGAAGTTGCCGAAGGGTATAGCACTTCCCAATAAGATAGAAAAACTTAAATTTACCATTACATGTTGGGAATGGATTCTGACCAATCTTGTAGTTGGGTGTGTCCCGAAATCGTGGATTTATTCTTCCTTTAGGGCCATCGTTAAGGGGTAAGTGATCATCAGCCATGATATTTTTTTGTGTACCCTACGTTCAGTTCAACCACGAAGTTTAGCACCACTAAGGTATTCCGATGAATTCACTGGGGTCATTTCTCGACTACGTACTCTTTATAAACATGTAGCTAATGTAGCTTTGTATCTCCACCAAATGAGAACCAATATCAATTGACCATGATTTTCTTTTGACTGGTTCACCAAGTTGGGAACTTCCACTCTTGAGAAAAAAAACTCTTTTGCGTGAGGACTCCTATGGAAGCTCCTGAGGTCCTAGGGCAGTGGAATCTGGTGGCGCAGGTGGACTGTTGTGTGTATATGACATAATATATATATATAATATGTAGATAGGGGTACATCAGCGTAGATTAGAGTAGATTGGATCATGTAGATCATGTTCAGGTCGTTTGTCACCAAGGGATATTTATGTGCCAATGTGTTGCGCCATTGGCTTGATGATCTCCCCAAAAAGTTTGCCTCGCTGGAGGACGCTGCAACCATCGAAAAGATCCGGGCCGTAGGGTCGCTCAGCTGGGAAGCAACCGGAGTTATATAGAGAATATCCCCACTGATATGGGATTCTATGGGTTATTAATGTGGATTCTAAACCACGGATCGTGGGATGCACATACAAGTAGCCTTTGGGGTATGATTTGGGTGGTGAAGTACCGAAAAGGAAGTTTTTGGATCCATAGGGATTGTATATTATTGCGCATTTAGATCATTTTAGATCCATATGATTGTATGTTAAGATCTATACATAATATCTACGGCTGTACACTAGATGTGAGGCGTTGAATTGTCGACAGAAAAGTGGAAAATCTACCATGAACTCACCAAGTGGTGATTTTCCACTATAAATGGTGATTTTCCTGCTGCTTCTTGATGGCTAAAATGGGTCCTCATTTTTCGCTCGATGGAATGGCGCAACGATATGAGAAATGGCTATGGGGCTGGGCTACAACTATACTCCAGGGGTTGATCATCATCCCTATGAAAATTTGGATACCCTCTGGAAAACATACAAAAAACGACGGAAAAGCACCATTTTTTATGGGTAAATCCTCTATAACATGGCTATGTTCAATAGCCATGTTAGTTTACCAGAAGGTAATTTTATGGAGTTGCTTTTCCCCCATTTTCAGACACACAATGATCCATAGGGCTATGGGTTGAAACATGTCAAAACCATGAAAAAAAACTGGTAAACATCAAAACAGGTACTGTAAGATGAATGGAAGTTCATCAACCCAAGTTCAGTGGCATCAAAGTTTGAACCCATTGAACCCATCACCAATAATTGGATAATTGGTTTACGGGAAAATCAATCCATTGGTACAGCTGCTCTGATGTAGATGCTGCCTGGAAATATATGGAGGTTTACGAAGTCATAGGGCTATCCCCAACATCGTTCTAGTGTGGATGAAAGAAATCCTGCACCAGTTGGTAGATGGTTTATGCAACTATACACCCATTACTTACCTCGTTGGTGGTTTGGAACATGAATTTTATTTTTCCATATATTCGGAATAATAATCCCAACTGACTTTTATATTTTTCAGAGGGGTTGAAGCCAACAAACAGTTACAGTGTTTTATAGTTACTAGTACTTATCAACTGGTGCAGGATTTCTTCCATCCACAGTATGGTGACTTGGGGACCCCCCCAGTTAAAGAACCCACCGTCATATGAAGTCACCTGGAATCACCTGGAGTTTGCTTCAGGTGGTCGCTCAGTTCGCCAAAGACATGCCCCTGTCGTGCGTTCGCTGCAAGGTGTCGGCTGAGTTACAGTGTAGCCTCAGTAGCCTCTGGTAATCAATCACGGCTAGGAAATCACCAATTCTTTTTATTCGATGATTTTCCCATGTTCATCACTGATAGGGATAAAATCCCAATGTCTTCCCAAATGTCTTCCCATAGTTTCCGATGTTTTCTCCCATGGATTTATGGGGCATATTTAGTTCGCCCACCTTCGGCTGCAGGTGGCGCCCAAGTGGCGGAGGGAAGGCTTCGAGTCCTTCTTCGTGAAGCCTGACAAGAAATCCAAGGAGACATGGCTATGGATCAATACCCATAACGTGGGTCATGCGATGCCATAAACCACCCATGACTGGGAATGGTAACCACACAACCTATAAAAATGGTGAAATTGGGATGGTTTATGACATTGTTTTACCCACATTAGATACAATTTCTTAGGGGATGAAGATCCATAAATCCCAATAAATCCCAGCTATTTTGATGCTAGGGTTTTCCCAGCTATTTTGTGCTATTCTTGATTTTAGCGGTGTTAGGGGTTTTGACATGCTTTGACCCATCCCCACATGTTGGTTTGTCTGAGAATCGGATATACCCCCCAGGTTATGGCATTTTCATAGGGAAAATGGATGAACATGGTGACAATCCACTGGATTTAGAGGTACCCTATTTAGAGACAGACATGAGCCATTGAAAACACCCTGGTTGACTGATTATTCAAAGGGGAGTAAAAACTACCGGGGAAAATGGGGATAATCATAACCCATAGTAACTAGAAACATATCGTGGAAAGATTAATGGAATAGTTATATGGAAATTTCATGAACATGTATGAACATGGAATAATTGTGGAATACTGTATCATCTCCTTGAAGTACTGATGTGATTGAGGGGTTGAAGAATCATGGAGAATCATGGATTTGGGATGGGATTTCCAGAGTGAACTCCTACACCAGATAGGTGGTTTATCCCATTATATACAGGGTTTCAACATGTTTCAACATGTTTCAGGTGGTGCAGTGGTGTAGGATTTCTTCCATCCACAGTATCACCATCAAAAGAAAATATGAGGTTCATAAATACCGAAAACGGAAATTCGGTGGCGAACTGATGAGATGTACACCTGAAGGGAGATGTGTGGATACCGAGGATACCTAGTGCGGGGGCGAGTTTGGGTTTCCATACTTGGACAGGATTGTTCAACACTTTCCCATTTTTCATGATGAATCAACGGGAAATCTGCACGAAACCATGCGTTGTCCCATGAAACATGTTTATGTTTTCCTGTAAATCGCTCTGAAAAAACCATGTGTAAAGATCCAGCTTGGAACTTTTTCCCGTTTTTTTCCACTTAAATTATGGTTCCACTATGTTCCAATGATATAAATTGACCATCCCGGCTGTCGCAGGAGCTTTTAGCGTTGCCACAATACATTCGCGACCTCTTGAGGTGCGCCTCCCATTGCGAGGGATGGGATTCGTCTCTGAAAACCACCATTTGTTTGTAGGTAAATCATCCATAGCTGGTTGGTGGTGACTGGAACCATGGAATTTTATGACTTTCCATTCATATTGGGAATAATATCATCCCAACTGACGAACTCCATGATTTTTCAGAGGGGTAGGTCAGCCACCAACCAGTCATACATGATGCATTTTTATTTTTTGTTGTTCATCAATTGTTCGTAGCTCTGTTAAACTCCCCGAAGCTAATGATAGTGGTTCTGCTGGGCGACGATGATGGGAATTCCCCCAAAGGCAGATCTTTTCATTCTGGTGGCTTGGTTTAGATGCTTGGGATGTAGCTATATGGAAAATCCATCATGCTTAGATCATTTCCTAGGGAAACCAATTGATGTCCATAGCTATGTTACTTTACTGGAGCATATATATAAATAGATATCCTACAATGCTTGGTATAATGCTTGGTATAATGTTTGGTATGATGGGATGATAGTCTATCATCAGTTGGTGGATAACATGGATAATTGATGGTATAGCATGGTATAACGGTATAACCGTGCAAAAATGATGGATGATTTTGCCAATACAGTAAGAATTGGGTATACTGCGCAGTTGGATAATTCTCTATGGTATGTGATGCTCTTTGTTAATTTAACAAAATGGCTATTGAAAATCACAATTGTTTGGTATGTATATACAGATATATACAGATATATATACAGATATGTACAGTAAATGATCTATACATGGGCCATTGTCCATAGCAAAGTGATAGATTGCCAGAGGCTAACCATGGGACATTCGAACCGGCCGGCTGGATGAAGCCTTATCAGTTAGATCTGGCAGTCTTTGAGCAGAAATTGGCAATTGGATCAGCCAACTGGGAGACCCTCTGGTAAACATACAAAAGACTATTGAACATGGCCATTTATAGTTGATTTACCCATCAAAAATGGTGATTTTGCCATAGTTATGTTAGTGTACCAGAGGCTAACATGCAGGGAGCCTTCAGTAGTCTCAGCTGGCAATGGAAATTCGGAATTTGGAATGGAAATTCTTCTTCTAGGCATGGGGAGTCGTTGCCAAATCTCAATGTTACATGGTTATATGATGTTATATGGTCAAAAGCTAGAGCAAAATGATCTCAGATTTTCATAGATTTTCAGGATGCCAATTTTGCCCTTATTTAGCTTGGCATGCCAGCTGCCACAGCGTCTTTCTCGCCCCTGGTGCACCTGGACAGGGACTTGTGGAAGAATGAGGCCCCCGCCTTAAGGCCGTGGGAGGGGAAGATCTGGCAAGATATGGATCTTTCTTCGAAACACTGAAGACGTGGCGATCAAGTGTGAATGTTTATGCATTATTATGAATTTATGAATGATGTTTTTAATTTTGTGTGAAGAAAGGTTTTCTCTTACAATCTCACTATGACCTCGAGTGATTTGGTAGTTGGAGTGACATGTCTTCATCATGTCTCCTCACTAAACATAGGAGGTATCATGACTGATTGATTGATTGGTTGCTACTAAGAGCTTGTACCCCCCGGGTGGATGAATCAGCCAGGCTGAATCAGGTTGTATAATCAATTTTGATGTGCCAATGCTATAGGTTTTCGTTGACCACTTAGACTTAAAAGGCGAGGTGATTACGCCGCTGGATAAGCAGCACTGAGGACAGAACTCTGCAGAATTCTTATGCGTTGATGCGGTTTAGAGCTCAAACATGCTCAAACTACCAGCATGAAACAGTAGAGTATGCCAAGAATGGTATTGCTCCAACCACGATAAGATCGATAAGCGCTTGTGGAAATCCTGAATTCAACATGAATACCATGAATCAAGTAGTGTGTCCCATAGCCGCCTTTCAGACGATCCAAGCTCCCAAAACCTCCGGTAAGTCAAACAGCCAGCAGCGGGATGTCTTGCTCAATACGAAACGGTGAGAACGACCATTATGACCATCTACAATAACCATCAAACATTGACAATAGCCACTAAAGCACCATCTATATATATAATAACCATCAAACAATGAGAATAGCCGTTGTACCCATCTATAGAATAATCCTCAAACCTTAAGGTGTTCCGCCATTGGTGAAGCCATGGAAGCCTCAGACGATTCTCCCAGATCATGGACCTTGCGGACCTTAGGACCCATGAGACTCGCTGTGTTTTGGAATGTTTTGGGGGGGTGAGGGGTAGTGGGATTTATGGATAGAGTGCGATCTAAAATGATCTTGATTTTTCGGGCAGTATAAGTGAGATGGATACTAAGAAGATCCTAGGGCCTAGAACCACTTGGTTCTTGCTTTCTGTTGTCTCACTATCATTGCAGGATCTCTTGAGGGCAATTAATTAATCTTGATTATATAATCCATGGCCCATTTAGGTCGTTGATTTCCCATGGCGAATTTCCATGACGATTTTCCATGGCTATGTTGGTTCACAATGATCATCCCCAACTGACTGGGTGGATAGTTGAATCCGACTGAGTTGTTTGCTTTATTTTTGTGGGTAAAACAATGCCATAAATCAGCCCATGTTTGATGGTTTTACCATGTTTTTACCATGTTTTACCATCCCAGCCATGAAAAAATTGGGGATTTTGGTGGATGGTAAACATGACATTGTTTTGAGCAGCAAAAGATGGCCATTGTTTGGTCCCAAAGAAGATCATCTCGAGGCCCAGCTGGGGTTGGCTGAGGAAGAGGGGGTCCCTTAGGGGCTCCATCTTTACACTGATGTCTGCAGCCATTGGTTTCTTGGCGGAAATTGGGAGAGACCGATGTTTTTCGTGGGACTTCAATGGGGGGTTCCATAAATGGTGGTACCCCAAAATGATGGCTTATAATGGAAAATACCGCTAAAATTGATGATTTAGGGGTACCCCTATTTCAGGAAACCACCAAATGTCTTCAATGGACTTAAAGCGTTCTGTACTCATACCTTTGAATCACTATTGTATCCTCGTAGCCAAAAACCCTGAAATGAAATTAAAAGGGATGAGAACCAAACCTGTTGTTTCCTGGGTTTCCATGGAAAAAAAACCGGGTTTTTCACACATGCCTAGTAAACCATACAATTAGACCTATGTTTTACCCATAGCAACCCATTTTTATTGTTTTTAATGTGGTTTGGATGGCCTATGGAGCCCAAATCCAGGCCAAGTTGCTGAGTAGATCTCCAGTGTGTGTGTGTGTTTCCCCCAACTTGATCCATACCAAGAGCTTCATCTCAGCAATGCTGATGAAGATCGCCCTTTGGATGCGTTGAGAGCTTGAGGTTCTGGCGTGCTGTTGCTACCATATGCTTTTAGTTTGGTTGGAGTCTGAGTCTGCACTTCATGGGCACTTGGACATGTGATGACATATTCACACTAGAGATCGCTGAAGCGACTGGTTGGATGTGTTTGGTTATTGTTTCGGTTTTGGGTGGTCTGAGACTGAGAAACAACAATCTTGGATAAGCCCACAGATGGTCTTAATTACATTCCCACCAGTACCTTTGCCTGATGCCCGTTTTAAGAAATTGAAACACATTTTGAAGTGTCGGTTCAGTCACCAATCCCTGGCAAGAACCAGTTGAAATATATGTGTCATCATCCAGTAAAATGGCAAGATCAAGCACAGCTAGCGGCATCAGCATCATCAGCTGACGTTCCTATATAAGCATCATAAATCAGTTTTAGATTCCATTATATACAGTAGATCCCCAGTTTCCTATGGTTTCCTATCATCATCTATCATCATTGAAGTATTTTTCACACCATCTTCCCGTGGTTTTTCACCATTGTCCGATCTGAAGGCTCAAAATGCCTAAGGAGTGCCCATTGGCATTTTGACGTTGCTCTTCGGAACCTACTGTCTGGCGACCTCCTTGCGCTTGATCATCACCATTTCGCACATCACAGGTGAGGACCTTGCGCAGGGACTTGGTATGTCGCAGGATCCAGGAGATGATGTGGGTTTGATGAAATGAGGACTTACCCTCTGGTAAACTAACATAGCTATTGAAAATGGCCATTTATAGTGGATTCTTCCCATTAAAAATGGTGATTTTCCATAGTTATGTTAAATTACCAGAGGGTAAAATGATTTGACCTTGTGTACATGTGGCCGTTGGATGATCTTTGATATTTTGGGATAGAAATTCACTTTATTGAACAAAAAACAACAACAACGTGGGGGGCTATGACCCAGGGAACCCGCATTTTCACGGCACCAGGTCGGGATTCCTATGCAAAGAGTGCGATCGTGGTCCTTGGTCCTGTCGCTGGGAGGGCGTTGGCCTGTTTGATGGTCGGCGAAGCCTTGTGTGGTCAGGCACTGGGACAGAGATGGGGGAATCCTGCAGACGACTTCCAGAGGTTTCAGATCTCGGTTGGCACTTATAGGCCCTAGGTAAAACATGGTAAACATACAAAAAGATCTGGAAAAACCATGGTTTTGCGGAAAATGGTCTACAAATGGTGGATTTTCCACATCCATATTCGTTTACAGGAGAGTAGCCCAATTTTTTTTGCTGCCAAATATTGCCAAATGGATAGATGATGAGACATGATGAGACCATGGTGTGTATTTTATGTCTTGATCTAGGACCTAAGATTTATTACATTATGAAGGAGCATAAGATTGCTGCCATGATAGAAAATTTGAATCTATTCCTTTGATCTATAGATTTTATGCAGATCAAAAAAAGACATGAAGACCGTGTCGGCAGGTGTGCAGCCCACTTCAGAAAAGTCCTTCAGAAAAACATCATGGAACCATCCTGCAAACACAACTTTCTACCCTCTGGTAAACATACAAAAAGCTATTGAACATGGCCATAGAAATAGTTGATTTACCCATTAAACATGGTGATGTTCCATAGTTATGTCAGTCCACCAGAGGGTATCTGTTCTGGGTGGGTGCTATACACTTTTGTTCTTCCTACGGTCAAACACACATTCCCCTTGGATCGCCGACTGGCGTCGGTCCATGCCAGACTGGCGAAGTTTCGTGTTGTTGAATGCGATGAAAAAAACTGGCATCGTAGGTACAGGTTCACTGGAACCACATGTCATAAATGCAGAAATATACCATGATTAACCATTATAAACCATCATCAATTTTAGTGGATAGTGACTATTAACCACTATTAATACTGGTTGGTGGTTTGGAACATGTTTTTTATTTTTCCATATATTGGGAACAATCATCCCAACTGGCTAATATTTTTCAGAGGGGTTGAAACCACCAACCAGATTATATATTTAAGATTATTTAAGCGCATATTTAAATGTTGGAATCCGAATGATTAATTTGGAGACAAATTGATATTCATGGACAGGCGTTGCACTCCAGTTGGCACACCATTGTACATATATAATATACACAATAGAGTTCTTTAACCACATTGACAACAAAATGGCAGGTTCAAAGAAATAATGTTTCGATGACTGGTTTGTTCTGTTTTGTCCACTCATTTGAAACACTGAGATGCAAAACATCGCTGCTTCTCACCATGAATTCACTTGCAGGCCGCGTTCATCAAATTTCTCTCAGATTTGTGGCCTCGGGTGCTACCTTTTGCTACTTGACAGGCATGGAGATGAATTACAGCCGTTGCAAACTGATGGATTTCGGTGTTGAATTTGGGGACAGCTATGGTTTGGGGTTCCATTTCTACTAGCTCATTGTGTATGCATGGAAAGCCCGCGATTTATGTGTAATATTATACATATATATATGTATTACATCTGTCAAAATGACTTTAGATCCAAGCGATGATACCCTGGAATCAAAAACAATATAGCTGCTGTTGGAAGATCCTATCTAGGTTTTGACCGATTCCCATATCACAGTTGGTTTACACAATGTTTGTGTAAACATTGCAAACATATTTCCACTAGATCCGATATCTAAGATCCATGTTGGGATTATCTTGAAATGTCAAAAACTATCTCCCCTCTCTTCACTCCGGTCCTCTTTCCACCATGCAGCCAAGGCTTTCGGAGGTTTCTCCAAGTCTCAAATGGCTCTGGTGGTGGTCGCCGCAGCCTTCCCTGCGGCTGCCAGCCGCGACATGTCCGTGTTGCGACATGTAACCCTCATTTCCTTCCTCAGTTTGGCCTTCATGGCAAGTTTAGTGGTTTCTTGGTGGCCTGAAAAACGGCCCAGGGTCCCAGTTGACTATGTTGACTGTTTGGTGGAAGAGCAAAGTTTACTGCTTGGTGGTTTTAAATATCTTTCATGTTTAGACATGTTTAGATGATCCAGTGTTTTAGGGGGGGTGTTTTCAACACCATCCACTTTCCTAGGCATTTTGCATTAATGTTGCATTGATTCCCAACTGGATTCAGATGAGGGCTGGTCATTTACACGCGATCCAAGAACTTTTGGAAAACCCTCCAGGAACAGAACATAGCAATGAGAGATCCGCTAAGAATTTCTAAAAATGGTCATTTGGGGGGTTCCTAAAATTTAGGGTACCCCTAAATCATCCATGTTATGTTCATAGGATTTTTCATTATAAACCATCCATTTTGGGGTACCACCATTTATGGAAACCTCCATTTCTATGGCAACCTCATCTACAAATGGGGGATTTTCCATTGCCCTCTTTGATTACTCAGACAGTAAAAAGATTTGGATCACATGTTCAAAAAAGGCAACGACGACGTACAGATTCTCACTGAATTCAGACAATGAACACCAGATCAAGCATGGTTAGTTGAGCATCCCATCATACAATGTAGTGATTTGTGGGGTTTGATTTGGAAACGAGGGCCATGTTTCTGTTGCTTTTCCAATACAGTGCTACAGCTAATTAGACGCAATATATGTGTTTGTCACACGTGGCTTGCACGTATAAGTTCTTCTCCTCCTCCTCCTCCTCCTCGTCCTCGTCCTCGTCCTCATCATCATTATCATCATCATCATCATCATCATCATCAAGCTCAAAACGCAACAAACCACCCAGGTTTGTCTGAAAATAAGGTACGCCAGATTGCATGGTTATCAATGATAAGTGCTAGTTCCCATATGTTCAGCCAAACCCAAATATAACATATACAGACTAATGTGAAGTGTTGGTTAGTGATATCCCATCAAATAGCCCCATCAAAAATCACCATGAATCAAATCCCATCAAAGATCCGAATCCATGAAATCACCATTGTTTGCATCATTTTGCATCTCAACCTCAACAACCCATCATGTTCTCATCATTCTCCCATCATGTTCTCATCATTTGCCCATCATTTGTTCATCATTGTCCAATAATGTGTCCATGATTCTCCCGCAAATTTTCACATTATCATGTTCTCATCATGTTCCAATAAGTTTCCCATCATGTTCTAATCATTTTCCTACAATGTGGTGCCCCGTCAGTTATCAGTTGGTTTCTAAACCCCTTAACTATAGATATATCTACCATAAGTCCTAGTTATTAGAGCTATGAACCCTTCGTTAGCTATCTTAGGGGCACCTTGTATCACCCACCATTTCCCTATCATTTTCCCATGTGTTTTCCGAACGCATCGCGGCATTGTCCGGTCTCAAGGTCACCAGTGCGGTCAGGGATCCAGCGGCTCGAGATCCGGAGCACCTGCACGTGCTGACCTCTGGCCGCGTCTTGGTGGGGATTTGTCAATGGAATTTCCAGGGGGTTACCCTCTGGTTATGTCAAAAAAGCTATTGAAAATGGCCATAGAAATAGTTGATTTACCCATCAAAAAATGGTGGATCTGTCCATCGTTTTTGGTATGTGTTACCAGAGGGGACGATGGATTTCATGGGCATTTCCATGGGGATTTAAGGATTTCATATGATTTAATGACATTTAGAACTGTATTTCATGGTATTCAAAAAGGAATGAATGAGAATGTCATAGGAATTTTATTGGGATTTGAATCATGATTTAACGATGAGTAATGGAATTGAATGGTATCGCTATCGAATAAGGAGTTATTGGGACGATCATTGAATTTTATGGGAATTTAGTTAATTGAATTATTGTGGCATTTAATGGTACATATTTCCTGGGCACAGTGTGTTAGGGATTACCCTCTGCCTCTGGTAGGCAAATATGATAAAATATACTGTAACAATCTTCTATAATTGGGCCATTTTCCAGAACTATGTTAAATTACCAAAAGGTATAATAACCATTGGAGGGACTTCTGCAACAAAAATGAAGGTGTAAACCAACCGCAATTGGGACATTTGATGGGATATGGTAATGGTACCTGGGTGTGTCTGAAACTTTCAGACAAACCCATGCAATCTGTTCTGTGAAAGTAGGTACTCCTTGGCTGGTACCCATGCAAATCATACAAGCGCAGACATGGAATTCAGGAGGCACATACTTGGATGTGCATCCCACTTACATAGGATCCGTGGTTTAGTTTGTCCATTAACCTGACCCAAGTTTTCATCCCATGTGTGTGGATTATATATGGGATGAAATATGGGTTATGGTTGTGGATTATAAACCATCCGTATAACCCATGTATATCTGGTTGGTGGTTTGGAACATGAATTTTATGTTTCCATATATTGGGAATCATCATCCAAACTGACGAACTCATATTTTTCAGAGGGGTAGGTACAATATATATATATATATCCCACTTAGTTACTAATCCAGATTTCATCCTATCATCCATATATATGGGATGTGACATGGTAATACATATATATATATATGGGATGTAATATGGGTTATATGTCCCAAGATAATCCATATATCATCCATATGTAATCCGTATTAATCAGCCATAAAAATCATTCCCGCTGGTCGCCCAGGCAAGGAGACGATCTGGGAAGTTTTACCACAGACCTGGAGCCTCGGTCTGGGTGTTTCTTTTGGTGGGAGTTTTACTACCTTTCTACATTGTATATATAATATTTCATATTTAATATGATATGATATGATGTAGTATAACAAAGTATGATATAATATGATATGATATGATATTGTATAATATAGTATAATTTAGTATAATATGGTATATATATATAATAATAATAATACACTATGATATGATATAGTATAACATAGTATGATATAATATGACATGATATGATGTAATGTAATATAATGTAATATAATACAACTCATATACGTGTAATTATGATAATAATAATTGTTATTATATGTATATATATAATGGTGGATGATCGTGGATTATCACAATCAAGTGGGAATCCCTAGTATATCAACCAAAAACATGGATGGACACTGCAGATCTGACATCCTCGCGGTGAGGTCGTTAGTGCTGAGCGCGTTGTATTGTCAGCACGTTGCCATTCCTGTCTCTTGCCGCGCGCAGTGATGCTTGGGATTTCGGAAACATGGAGACATAGTGGGGACATTACCAAATGGGGTAGGCCACCAGGAAATCTGAGACCTCAACAGTGGCTTGCCATCCAGGAAAGTATGAGGATTACCCTCTGGTAAATTAACATAGACCCTGGCAGATAGGGGTTGGAAGACTAGTTTCCATTAAAAATTGGTGATTTTCAGGGTCTATGTTAATTTACCAGAGGGTATCATCCACCGTTTTTCAGTCTCAGCCTGTCTCAGCGGTGTCGCTTGTTGAAATCACATAGCATAGCGTGGCGGTGATCCAATTTTCGTCCACCTCTATCTGAGTTCATGATCGCAGGGGGATCTTGGGCCTCACCTTTTAAGGACCAGTTAACCAGCTAATCAGTTAACCAGTTACCCATGTCGCGGCTGGAAACCTGAAGGTGTGAAGAACTGTTCTTACCATTTCTTACCAGTGATTTGTTGTTCGGTTTTCTGAGAAAAAAAATGGCACTTGTTGATTTCGCCCAGGGGATTTGTCTCTCGTGGTTTCCTGAGGTTTACAAACAGCTGAACAACTTCAATAGTCGACGCATCAATAAGGCGATCTCGAGGGGGCTGACCAGGGCTATCCATGCTGGCTTTGAACATGATCGACTCCCCGAAAAAAAAATGAGGGTTCAAAATCACTGCACCACTGGTGCTGTTATTTTTCCGAAATGACCAAGATGACCAGGTGCGGGTTGGCAACCCAATTTTTGAGCCACATTCTTATGCTATCTTATGCTAGAATGGGTATGAACATCCACAAGGATGAGTTAATTTTTGAAAAGTGAAAACTGAAAACCAGTTTTCCTCATCATTTTTGATCCACGGCTAAATCTGGCAGGTTTCCGGTTACTGAAACTCAGCAGATCATCAGGTGCTTCTAAGATCGTGCACATCGTTGTCCTTGCTGTACGCGTTGGTGGCAACCTGTGGCGTCATGGCACATGGAGCAAAGACTCCTGAGAAGCTTTGCTGTCAGGATTGAGAGTTGATCTGCCATATCTTTTATGTGCATATTTGGAAAGGGTCACTTGGTAGTTTGGTACCTTCAGGTTTAAGACCTCCCAACCTATGGGTCGTGCGTGCTATACGTAGGAAATGAATGTGGCGGAGATTTGTGAAGTGAGAACCATCTAGTTTTGTACCAAGTTTGCTCCACTGTGCGATTTGGAAATATGGATCTATATCCCTGAACCCTAAAATCCTGACATGGAATTCTCTGATACAAAGGATCACACTGATCACGCAACTTGTGGTTTCATTGGTACCCATACTTTTTCAAAATCCCCACCCAGTAGTGGCAACCACGATATAAGTTCATCAATGCCACATAAAGCATCCTGCTCTGTTTGCAGGGTTGCTTTGAGAGCTTCTGGATGTGACCAGCCAAATTCCACCCCCCCAACAATACTATAGTATCATTATAGACCCTTAGAGTAGCGCATGATTGCTATTCCTTCAAGCCCATATTTGCAGGGTTTATGTTAGTTGGGGGCCCATGGCACCGACGGATTGCCGCACCTGTCCCATCACCAGTCCTGCTGAGGAATATTCTCTTGGCATATCCCAGTAACCACGGAGCAGCATGGTTGGCCCAACTACTAACAGGATGCTCTCTGTTGATTGCTCTCCCCTTGGGGGTTCAACCTGCACGAGATCAGCTTCCAGCCACTTCGTTAAAAAAATCCACGGGGAACCCCTGGTGATGGCGAATTGAAGTGGATTTATGATGATTGAATATGATTCATGTGTCGTAGTTTCATGTGACATCCATTGAAACCAGTCTTTTTTCATCTTTTTTCTCTTAGTATCCATGGGTAGAGGGGTTTTAAAGTTAAGAATGCTGAGGTGCTCTTACCCATCCGCTGCGCGAAGATTCGGGTGATCCCATCATTGGATTGACGTTGGTGTCACTGTTGCGATTGTAGTTCCAAAACCATTCCGATGAGGGCTCTTTCGCCATTTGTAAGGAGCAATTTCCCAAACTTTACTGGAGTTTCATGGTGGAATATGGCTTTGGGTCAAAAAATGGTTAACCTGAAAAAAACACAGATAGCTAAGTCTAGATTAGTATTATTAACCATCCAAGAAAATGGAAGCAGTCAATTTTGAGCCATACCCATATGGAGGTTTCCTAGGTCATGGGCCAGTCATCATCCATTTTTTGGTTAGGGTTTCTCCATGAAATAAACCATCCAATGATTGGGGTACAATGTGGGGCCCCCAAACGATAGCGTTCAGTTGGTTTATAACTAGCTTAAGTATTTAAGTATGGTAGATATATCATGATATATCTAAAGTATTCATGGGGTGTGTCAACCAACTGAACGCTATTGTTGGCCCCACCTTGTACCCCTGATGACTATGGAAATCCCCGGTATGGTTCGTCCAGATTCGTCCAGATGGACTTCAGCTGCTGGAGCTAAACTAAGGAAGTGATCTATTCCATCCAGTGCCTTTGCGGTTGCTTGATATGAAAGATGGCGGCGACAGAGTCGTATTTCCTAAAACATGTTTTGCATATAGTAACATACATATCATATAATATATATATATATGTGATAACTATATGAGATGCAAGTTGTATAGTTAACAGTAACTACAATGATGTTGATATATTGTGTTACTTCGTAATTATAGTAACTATAGGTAACTACCAAAAAGATCCAAAAAGACTGACTATTTTTGTAGATGTTTACTGTTCTATCTTCTGACTCTTATCGGTGAAACTTGGGCATCCCGATAATCAGTTCCTCCATATTTTCGGGTTAATATGGCGGAAAACATGGCTAAAAACCCTCCGGCAATGAAACATGGCCACATGGCGATGAAATGCAATTTTTAGAATCCTCCAGTTATAGATGATTGTTTTTTCCACTACCCTCTGGTTATTTAACATAGCCATGGTATTCATGGCCCATTTATAGATGGTTTACCTATTAAAAATGGTGGATCTTTCCATGGCTATGTTAAATAACCAGATGGTATATTATGTATATATTGGGAAAGCCTACAACAAAGATTCCATTGGTTTGATATTTAACATACCATCTGGGTTTGATACATTTAAAATTTCCAAATATAACCTTCATCTACCAAAGATTTCCCGTGGTTTGATATTTCCTTCTCAGCCAAACCCATCCAAGGCGCCCTCTTCTTCGGACGGAGCGCAGCCAAGTCCTCCTACGAGCCCATGGCAAAGCCAGGACCAACCAAACGCGCCTTGGCCATGGCGGTTGTGGTGAATGTGGAAACCCAATGCCATAAACATCCATAAACCTACCGGTTTATGATTGGGTCTACTACATTACCAAAAAATGAAAGCGCTGGTAAATTGGTGAATAATTCTGATATACGGTGATTTTGTAGATTGCAAGTGGGTTGATTTGGATAGGCAATTGAATTCAATGGCAAGTTTTGGTGCTGTGGTGGTGGTGAACCCAAAAATCATAAGACTTGGTGAAGACTCGATTTTCTCTTGTTTTTCACGATGTTTGCATGTTTGGTACTTGGTGGCTCATTCCACTTAGCAAGTTGTTTTTTATCACCCGAGTTATAAGTAGAGTAGAGTAAGTAGATTCGTCCCACTTACGATTCCTGGGGTGAACAACGATTTCTATGACAGGATCGAGTTGTTCAGCGTTGGTTGTAGCGATGCCTCCGCGGTTCCGAGGAGTTCTGCACACTGCAGGGATTCTGATGACAGCAGCGAGTCTGGCTGTGATCTTTCCATCAGTCACTGCGATCCTTGGGGCTATCCAGTGGTTTGTGAACGGAGGGAGTGGTTCGGAATGGGGTGCCAAGGAGCTACTGTGAGTTTCCTCACGATGGGTGCCAGCTGATGGCTTTTGACTGTTTTTGGCTGTTTCTGTTCCATGGTTCACGAGCCCGGGATAAGCAGGGTAAATCTTGGTTGATCAAAATAAATCTTTGGCAATTGCTGTTCAATCAAAGTTCAAGTGCCTACCATAGTTGGACCGCTTGGGACTCGCATTTCCAAGGATTGTGAGCATTGCAACTGGCTTTGGTTCCGTGCTATGGACCTTCATCATGCCCATGGTCATGATCTTTATCTTGAGGCACTGGAGATTTGACAGTGGAGGGGACCCTCAGGCTGTGACCACATCATTATTTCGAAGGGTCACGGCAATTGTGGTGGCTGTTCATATGCTGTTGCTGGCCGCAATAATTCACATGGATAACGACTGGTTGGTGCTTTGGAACATTTTTTATTTTTCCATATATTGGGAATGTCATCATCCCAACTGACGAAGTCCATCATTTTTCAGAGGGGTAGGTGGCTCAACCACCAACCAGACATGGATAACGAGACTCAGAGATGCGATCCAGGTCGTTTGCTGTACATTTTCCATCTCACGGAATTGGCTGAAAGGAAAATCGTGATGAACACCATTAGTTAATAATGTTAAATGCAAATGTGAATAATGCAATGTAACCATAATAACATCCATTATTAAAATCAATAGTAGTAAATGTAAATCCAATAATAAACCATCCCCAAAACTACTATCAATATGGATAGAAATGGGTTATAGAAGATCCCCAAATGGTAGGTTTATGATTGGTTTTACCATGCTTGAAACCTGTGGCTCTGGGGATCCCCTAGTTCAAGAAATCCCCATATATATATATATACTTTACAACAAACACGTGCAACACCTGCTATTTGTCCGAAATTTGAACCTGTCTTCATTGCTCAGACTCGATGAGTTTGTGGTGATTTGTTTCAGGCACCGCGCTGGTCGGAATGCGGATGCATCTTCCATGTTCCAGGGTGAAGTGTTTGGGGTTTCGGGTGGCTTTTTATGTGGGGAACCAACCTATTTCTGCTGAGAAACAACTGTAATGGGAATATAATATAATTATTCATAATAGGATCTAAATGGGTATATTAACATATATTAACTACGTTCCAAATCAGCAATTAGTATATTATAATAGAAATGGGATCTAATTCAATCTACTTCGCAACTATTTTTAATGCTGGGTACCATGGAGATATGTGGAGATGGACCTGACCTGGGAGAGTCTTTGAGGGATATCCTCTGGGACTTTGTTACATAGCTATTGAAATTTTGGTCCATTTATAGTTGATTTACCTATGAAAGATTGTGGATTTTCCAGTTCGCTAGGTGAGTTTACCAAATGGGATTTTTCATGGTATACATCACGAAAAAATGATCTCTGGGTCCAACGAGGGACGGCTTTGTCAAAAAGTGATGATGTTTTTTGGGTAGCTGATGAATCAGACAGACCTGGTTGATGTCCAAAAATGCGGGAGATCCGGATTTTAGAGTAACATTGACGAACATTGATGAATATGATGTTAAGAGAAAACATGATTCAAAGTTCATCAATGTTCATTTAAACTGGTGGTTTTTATGTTCCATAATATATGGGATGTCATCCCTCCCATTGACGAACTCATATTGTTCAGAATGGTTAAAACCACCACACTTTCCACACTTTCGGGCTGAGTGCATGCTCGGAGTCTGGAGCGAAGCACTGGTGGCTAAGTTCCCAAACAAAGTCCCCATTAGGGATCTAGCAGTCGCAGCTCTGGGCATTGCTTGGGCACGGGCAATGCTTTCAGAGCTCCTGCCGCTCGCGTACAAGGTGCAGTAAGTTCTTGTCCAAGCCAAGAGTCGACTATCTGAACGGCATGTTTGGCCCAAGGAAGTGCAACACATGGGACATATGCCTGAATCATCTGAGAAGCAGGGCGGCATTGATCCATAGTGGCCTGAAGGCCTCCTTCTTTCCAGATCGCTTTCAGAAATTGTCTGAACCACCTCACCCGCGTTCGGAACGGGATAGTGGCCACTGTCAAATATGGCCTGGACGACAAGTCCACCCACTGTTGTTGTACCCGAAGTGGTCCCGGGTTGCTCCATGTCATCTGATAGTCCAAATATAATTGCGTAAAGGACAACCATTGCGGTTCCGCAGTGTCATCTGTGACCAACCGAGCTTCCAACCACCGCATTGCTCGAGTCACATGCGCTGTGCCGAACAATCGGGCGGCGTTCGGAACCATCTGACCAGTCCAATTGCCAAAAGCAAAACAAGGAACAAACTCTCTGGTAACCCTGGGCCCCTGCTCAATGACGTCTGTGATGTCATTCTGTGCGCGCACATGCCTTTTCCCAATAGCAAGTTGAAGGGCTGTCACCTGCTGTGCAAGCCTGCGTGCTCGCTCTGTAGCCTGTACATGTTCTTCCCAAAACTGCCAAAAAGCTTCAGAACGCGCCTGATTGGCTGTCTTCGCTGCTTTATCAGCATACCCATTGTGAAAGAACTTCCAAACTTCAGCCGCATTGCGAGCACGGTTAAAACCACCAACCAGTAAACTGATTTTAAGAGAAACATTGATGAACATTGATGAACCTGAGATTTTGGAGTAGTGGATGTTCAAAGAAACGCACATCACTGGTTCTTGCTTCCTGGTATTACAGGAAACCATTGTTTTTTTTCGTTGTTCAGATGAACTTTGTGAATTTTCGGAATCAGTTCTCTGGCCGCAGATTTTCGGCAACAAAAAAACACCCAGTGACCATCGGATGAGGGCAGAAAGTCCATGGATGCCACGGATCACCATGACATCCATGCCAGGCCACATATATATATATATATATAATAATCACATATGTAATAATATATCATTCTTTACACATGCATAAAATACATTACCTTACATTACATGGCGATCCATTATAGTAGATTATATATCTGATTATATTACATTAGATTGCATTGCACACATCAGATTTGGCAGCGTTCGAGGCTGCCGGATCTCAGTGAGAGTAGCCTGAAACGAGAGAGGCTGGGAGAACCCAACCGTTCTTTTGAAATCATCCCAAAGAACGGGGAACGAACCCAATAACAAACCCAATTAGGGACGGTTTGTTGGGTTTACCTCATTATATATATATATATATATTATATATATATATGTATATATATCATATATATATATATTTATATGTAAGTACGATGTGCTGATGATTAGTATATGATTATCTAACTAGTTAATCTGGATAATTATGGTTTGGTTCAATGGCTCTTGGGTCAGTATACGGGAATGATCCAGCTGAAGCTAAATGTGGTAGAAATTGTTATTTTTCCCGTAAGACATGCAGGTCGAGTTGGGAGTGAATCCAATTCTTCACCACCTGTAATGACATAGAAACTTGGTAAATGGGAAGTCCAAGAGTTTTTCATTGCAGCGACCTTGGCATCGAAGATCACATGGAAACTCGCGATCAACTCTAAGATGCACTGTTTAAATCCTTTAAAATCCTCCATAAATCCTCCATAAGTTACTTTAAAGCAGCCAAAAATTTAGGGATCGAAGAGTCGGAAGAGTCGAGAAAAAGATCCAAGAATACCAGATGCCAGTGGATTATCCATACTGTTTGTCATGAAAAGTTCCCGAGAAATTGGAGTCGTTATATGTTGTAAAAAAAACTCCCCCCAAAACTCATGGATTTGTTTTTCATGATGTCATGGGGTTAGGGAATGAATGACGATCCAGACACATGATAACTGGCTTCTAAGAATGTCCCAGGAGAAATGGGGGGGTAATAGCCCCAGCTGAAAATGTCAACCTCATCCAACAAGCCCAGCAAGCCGCCCCCATGAAAAAGTGTGGGCCACGTTTTGTGGGCTTCAGCCACCACCCAGCTATCAGCCAATCTCAAACAAGGTAATACATGGGAATACATGGTAATAGTATACTGTACCCATTTTATTCATGTTTAATCATGTTTATTCCCCACGAAATCATGTGATGTCTTGGCGTAAAATCACCCCGTGCTTAGACCATCCCAGGCTCCCCCATCATCCCCAAATCACCAATATTGGAATGATGTCCTCATGTTTAGGGCCAAAGTAACTCATCAATGGAATTTTCACACCCGAAACTGGAACAAAGACATCATCCATCAACCCCAGCCTCTTTTTGGGAAACTGGTGTATATTACATCAGTATATTCCAAAAAACCATCACCTCTCATCATCTTCGAAATTTCGTTGAAACCCCCCCACATCCCCCAAAGATAGGATTTATAGAATCCCCAAATTAGATCTATAATGATCTATATATATACTCTACTACATTATATATTCCCAAATTCTCAAAGTCTCAAAAAATTCCCCCCAAAAAAATCCAACAAATCCCCAATCAGCCAGTGCCACCCTGCCAGGCTCCTAAGCTCTCCCCTGGCCTCGCCTCTGGCCTCACCCTCGTGGTCCCCACGTGGCTCCGAACGCTCCTCGCCCACGCTGTCGCCGCATCCCTCCTCCGCGCTGCTCAGCGAGGCAGCGAACTTCCAACTCGGGGGCGATGAGGCGCCATCCCAGGGCCCCGGAGTTGGGGGAGGTTTTTTTCCCGTGGATGACCAAGTGATGATACGTAAAAACCGATGGACAACTATATGTACATACCGTATGTACGTACCTACCTACCTACCTACCTACATACATACATACATACACACACATACATAGATACATAGATACATAGATACATAGATACATAGATACATAGATAGATAGATAGATAGATAGATACATACATACATACATAATCATACATACATAATCATACATTACATACATACATACATACATACATACATAAATACATACACATACATACACATACATACATACATACATAAATACATACACATACATACACATACATACACATACATACACATACATACACATACATACACATACATACACATACATACACATACATACACATACATACACATACATACACATACATACACATACATACACATACATACACATACATAAATAGATACATACATACATGCATGCATACATACATACACAGACATACATGCATGCATACATACATGCATACATACATACATACATGCATGCTTGCATGCATACATACATACATGCATACATACATACACACATACATACATACATACATACATGCAAACATACATACATACATACATGCATGCATGCATGCATGCATACATACACATACATACATACATACCTACATACACATACACATACACATACATACACATACATACATGCATACATGCATGCATCCATACATACATACACATACGTACATACATACTTGCATGCATGCATGCAAACATACATACATACACATACATACATACATACATAATACATACATACACATTCATACATAGATACATACATACATACATGCATGCATGCATGCATGCATACACATACGCATACTCATACGCATACGCATACATATACACATACACATACACATACATACATACATACATGCATGCATACATACATACATACATACATACTCACACATACATACATACATACATACATACACACACACATACATACATACACATACATACATAGATACATACATACGTAGATATATACATACATACATACATACATATATACATACATATATACATACACATATACACATACATATATACACATACATATATACACATACATATTACACATACTTATACATATACATACACACCTACCTACCTACCTACCTACCTACCTACCTACCTACCTACCTACCTACCTACACGTACGTACGTACATACGTACATCTCATGATCATGATCATGATCATGATTGATGATGATGATGATGATGATCATCATCATCGTCATCGTCATCGTCATCGTCATCATCATCATCATCATCATTATCATCATCATCATCATCATCCTCGTCATCATCATCGTCATCATCATCCTCATCATCATCATCGTCATCATCGTCTTCATCATCGTCGTCATCATCATCGTCACCATCTTCATAATGCTGACTATGTTTATCATCGTCACGATGATGGTGACGAGGAAGATGATCATCACCCTTTCCATGTCAAAAAAATGCCGCGTCCCAGGAGGTTTGCATGCAGATCGAAGAACCCGACAGCGGCTGCTGGGACCTGTCGCTGTAAGGTAACCTCTTTGGGACAGAGTTGAGCCATGCCAGTATGATATCAGATAATCCTCTCTCCCTATTACTAAAACGGCCCCCCTTCAGGTAAACACGGTGATCTAATTTTATTAGGGGGGATTTTGCATTGGGATACCCCTAATAGTCCAATGAAAAACAATCTTAATAATGAAAATAGAGAAAAACTAAAGTTCAAATTTGATTAAGTTTGTTATTAAAATCTAAATGAAATTTTGCCAAAAACTGGATTTCGATGTTTTCCCCTAATATTCCAATGACAACCTTAATAATAAAAATCAAAAACTCGATTTCAAATTTGATTAGACCCCTTATTAAAATCTACATACAAGTTTGCCAAAAACTGGATTTCGAAGCTTTCCCCTAATATTCCAATGAAAACCATGATAATAAAAATGAACAATAAAACTTGTGAGATGGGACCCTAATCAAAAACCTCCAGGTGGCAATCTATTTTTTTTAAGAGGGGGTTGATCCCATTGTTTCACCATCCTGTTCTCCTATTGATTCTCAATTGCCCCAATTAAGAATCCAATTGTGCTCAACCAAAAAGAACCCTTTGAAAAACGGACCACCCTGGCAGGTGGTTTCAAACAGATGTTCACTTGTTCAACCATAGAAATGGGACGATCTCCCCGATGACCAGCATAGTTTTCAGGTTCACCAGCCAGTCAAATTCCAAATGTCCAACTTTTTGGGCGAGTGAAATCCAACAAGTTCCGAGTTTTGCCACAAAAATGTGAATTTTCTGTCAGTAAACGTAAACTTCCATTTGTTTTTACAAGTAAATGTTCACTTTCTACCATCAGATTCCCAGTTCGCCCCGTGAGTCCCCCACGGCGCTCAGGTTGGAAAAGCACGGTGTGTCATACCGAGCTGCGACCAGAGCGAAATGGAGAGCGTGACTTGGTCCAGTCAGAAGTTGGTTGCTGCCATAAACAACTACTGTACCATTTGGGAATATATATATATATAGTGGTTTAATCGCAGCCACATTTTATGGTGACTTTGGGAATGGTTTATGAAATCCTGTTTACTATATTCTGCAAAATTTAGAGCGAGGTCAGCCGAGGTGCGAGGTAGACTTAGCAAATTAACGAGGTGAATTGACTAATTCACTTCCACGAGGTGATGCCTTGGCTTGCTTTTGGAGTGGACGATAATATGCACAATAGCAATTAATATGCACAATGTCATGTCCAAAAAAATATGTGTTGGACATGAAATATCACCGTTTTAGTTTGGTGGTGTGGAAAAAATTGGACAATTCCCAACCCCTGATCCGGAGGTGTCCTAAGTCATTGGGGTACCCCAAATCATCCAAGTCATGGACCATGGATGACCATGACTTAGTATTGAAAGATATTGAAATCCATGGTGACTTGGGCGTGCCATTTTAAGAACGTCCCATGTATCAATGAAATATACAAGAACAACATGTAATATTATGTAATATAATCTTGCATCATATTATCGAGTATATTGATGTAAACATCCATATATATACATATACATATACATATACATATATACATATACATTATACATATACATATACATATACATATATAAATGTATAATATAGTATTTATGTATGTATATATAATGTTTACATGGCGCATATAGTTGGCATCTATAGAAGTTCGAGATATCTCAAGTTTGCTGGTGTATAATCTGGTTTATGACCCGATGAACTATTGATAGGGGGTTATTAGCCAACTTGTGACTATAGATTGATGTATTTAATTTACCAGGTGATCAACTGATCAACTGAATCCCGTTGTATAATTACAAGTTGTACCACCAAATATGATGGGTTATATCAATCGTTGTAAAACCACGTAATCTAGATTTGCTCAGTTTGAATTAACCCTGGTGCTGGTGATGATTGCAGGGGACTATACTAGCAAATATCTCGGGGATCATTGAGCCATATTTTTGGGACGGGTTCGCTGGGACCCGATGAAATGTGGTCGAAAAGGCTGAGGCAAAGATGACCAGATCTATGGTCCTTTGTCCAACCAATTCTTGCCTCCCCATATCCAAATGATTCCAAATGCTTTCCTGGGCCTGTCAAAGTCTGGCAACGCAGCAACGCAGTCTGACACCTAGATGTCCATATCATCCCATATTTATATACGTATATAGCATATATATAGCATTACATATCCATATCATCGCATATCATCCAGTATCATCCCATTTATATGCGCTTGAACAGGACATGAAACATTGTGACATGAACAGCATGATCCTCCGGAGGATCACAATTGACAGCTAGCCATTGGAGCTCGTGACGATTCCATCACCAGTCACAGAATTGGGTAAGGCTCGAACCAGAAAAAACACCTCCAACCTTCCCAAAAAAATATCATCTACAGTTATGTACATATAAAATCATATGAATATATATCCATAAATTAATATAGTTATATAATGTTATATATATAATTATATATATATATATTCAATGTTTATACATATATATATACATAACAATCACCAGTCCAGCTGGCTCCTGCTACCCAGCTACCATTTTTTCAGAAACGGCCAAGGTCATTCTGGCAGCAGCGTCCGAGAGGCTCCGGGTCATCATTGGTCCTTTCACTTCACCATGGGTCCCTTGGCCTTTGCTAATCGCTGATGCCATGCTGAAAAAAATGGATGAAAAACATTGAACAAAACCCATGGAGAATAGATGATTTACCCATATGACATGGAGAAAATAGATGGAACATAGATGATTTATATACATTTCTGCGAAATTGTCCATGCTCCATGGCAAAGTGTCAAATTATCGAAGGGTATTAGGGTATCCGGAAAAAAATGAGAATTTCAGATTTTGCCGGGGGTGATTATATGCGGGAGGGTGTTTTGGGCAAAGAAACTTGGGGTCCAACTTCAACATCACGATCTGAATATCCTCTGCCAATCAAACATGGCAATAGAAACTCATGCGTTTTAGATGATGTTCCCAGCTTCATACACCTACGTTTACAGTGGATTTCCCATAGTTGCCCAATAATTTTCTCATAGTTTTCCCATATTTCCATGATGTTCCCATTCATACACCATTTGTAGGACTTTCACTTGCCATGGATGACCGGAGGGTAGCTTTCAGGTATTCTCAGCTTGTCCATTGGCTCCGTTCTGGGCTTGACAGCTGCCTACCAATCCTGCGTCCTTTGGCGACGCGGAGACGGGCTGGAAACTTCTTCGAAGATCCCCTCAAATCCCATGGTTTATGCTAGTTTATGTTGGTTGATCATCACCACTAATATCACTAATATGGGTTTGAAAAATAGGTTACCCATGATTACCCCAAAATTTGATGATCATCATTTAACCCATCAAAATAGCCATTTCCAGTCACGTGTGCGTCTTGTGACAGCTCATGCCGTAATCCGTAATCCGGCTCAATATAGTCTTTCAGTGTTTCAATAATGCATGTGACAAGGTTTTGTCCTTGCCTCCCCTGCTCAACTGCATCGAGTCAGTCCTGGAGAAACGACGGTGCTCAGTAATGGTATGAAGTGCTGAGTTCACATTCTATATATGGAGCGGCAATGTTGAACATGACAAGTTCCTAGGTTCCTAGGTCAGAAACATTGCAGCGTTACATACGGTATACCCCATCTTGTAATTCGCTAGTAGATATATCATGATAGAATACATAATACATAATTGTGATAAACCATTATATATATATGTACATATATTATATACCCCATATATAACAATATATATATATCATAATTACCACATTGCTAGCATAAGCCCCAGTCCTATTTTTGCAGTGCACTTTGGAGTGCGTCACTGGAGTGTGCCAAAACTTCCCTGGCGCTCAGGTCAAAGTGCTTCGTCACGGCTGACATCGTGACGAGCACTGGCACCTTCTTCCACGTCATAATGCTGGTGATATCTTTGGAAGCCTTCCAGTACATTAAACATCATTAAACTATATATATATATCACAGAAAGTTGTTGAGGATAATATAGGATAACTGATAATCATGATGGTGATATCTTTGGAACCCTTCCATGTGCATCTATATCCAACTAAAAAATCCTTGAAGAACAGAAACTCCATAATGTTGCCAAGTGCAACCATGGTTGCTAAGGTGATGCCATACGCCATACGTTTCAGTTGCAAATTTTATCAAGGGTGCCACTACGGCTGAACCATAGCTGTCGTGGCCACCACTGCACGACAGTGGTCTACTTGTTCGCCATGGGTCAAGGATGGAGTTCGAAACTCGTTTGAGGCAGGTTTATCCATGTTCCTTAGAAACTTCACTAGAGGTTAAGTTATCAGACATGGACATGTTTTATCATTTGTTCATAGATAGTCGAAGTATGCTGATTCTCCAGCGCGTGACATAGAAATGAACTAGATCGGCTACTGAACAGGACGACCATGTCGATTTTGCCTGCATGTATAAAATTCAAATCCGTCGTTGGCTGTAAATGTGGTTGTACAGGGACATACTGACTGGTAAGATCTGGTAAGATCTGGTAAGCAACTATCTATCATACTGGGACTTATCGCATTTTCGCTGGATTTGTATACAGATGGTGTTCCGGTTTAGGTTTTTCACAGATGCCACAGCAAGCGCATTGGATACCCAACTTGACTCCTGGCGACATGTACAAAGAACATGGGCCCACCCATTTCAACGGAGCTGCAGCAAACAAGGCTCGGTTTTTTCAAGAAACTGCAGATCAGAGGCTGATCTGCTGTGCTTGAAACATCTTGAAACAGATTCCCAACCCTTGCAAGTCATGTTCTGATAAGAAGATCACATCAAATCACATCAAATCACCATAAATCGCCCTCGATGGGGATGTTTTTGAAGCGCGCAGCGGGGGAAAGGGTGGAGATGCTGTGGACATAGCTTGATCTTCGAAACCGTTGGCCGTGGAGAAAAAATGGTCGAAACCATGGCGAGCAGTTGCCACTTCAGCCTGAGGCTGATGATGGTTCTATTGAAGATTCATCAAGATTCACACCCAAAATTGCCCCAAAATTCAACATGGAACCATATGGAACCCCACTTTTATGAGAGATGATTTTCCTAATATGAATATGGCCCTGTTGCTGTTCCATGTTGAATTACCGGAGCGTAAAAACTATTTTCAGAAGATGTTGCCTGTGTAGAATTTCTTCAAAACTGAACATTTTAAGCGATTGGAATCACGGTGTTACCTTCGCAGTTTATTGTTGCCTGCTGAGCAGTTGCACGTACTGACCCGGGATGTATGCATGGATGGATCGACGGATGTAGAGTTGGATGGATAGATGGATAGATAGATCCATAGATCGATAGACGGATAGATAGAGAGATGGATAGACAGACAGATAGGTAGGTAGATAGGTAGATAGACAGAGACCTAGATCTATCTGTATCTAGAGACCCTCACCTGGCAGATAGGTAATACAGGTAGATCAATAGATCGATCAATCTCCGGGAGGTATCTGGTTCCAGCGGCCCGAGAGGTTGGCCCTGACGCCGGAGTTCCCAGGGAGGGGCCACTGAAGAGGGGGGAATCCACCACTGAAATGCTGTAAAAATGCTGGGGAAACTTATGATTATGATAATCTTACTGGGATTTAGTGGGGTTGAATGATGTTGAATGGGGTGGGAAATGGAGTTTTATGATGTTTTATGATGTTTGGATTCTGTCGGATTCTGTGGGGTTGAACAGGGATATAAATGATGGGAAGGGAGCCCTAAAATCCCATGGAGAAGGAACCATGATTTGCTGGCACTGTTATCTTGACTAAACATGGAATCGATTACTTTTGGATGACTCGGATGGGCAGAGTGCAGAGATGAAGAAGACACACAGTTGACAATCTTATCTATTGTATTTCTTTCCCCACCTGCCAGGTGAGGGTCTCTAGATTTTATCAGTTGAACTCCAGATGTCAGTGGGCACTGCCGGACCTCAGCTGCGAGCTCCAGATCACTGAGATCTGGCGCTTGCGGTTGAGGTCCGGCAGTGCCCATGTCAGAGAGAATGTCAGAAGAAATGCCAGATACTGGAGAATTCCAGAATAGAACATCAGATAGAATGCCAGAATGAACGCCCGATACAATGGCAGAATAGAATGTCAGAATAGATGCCAGATAGAATGCCAGAATAGAATGTCAGATAGAATGCGACATAGAATGCCAGAATCAATGCCAGAAAAAATGTCAGAATAGATGCCAGATAGAATATCAGAAAGAACGCCAGAAAGAACGCCAGATAGAATGCTAGAGAAAATTCCAGAATAGATGCCATAGGATGTCAGGATAGATGCCAGATAGAATGCCAGAATAGAATGCCAGAATAGAATGTCAGATAGAATGCCAGAAACGAATGTCAGAACATATATGCCATATATACTTCCAGATGAGATATCAGAAACTATGACGATCAAAAAATGTCACGGTGGGGATCACTCGAAGTAAAGTAATTCTAATTTTTGAGAGCTGTGTATCTGTTCATCCTTCTTCTTCTTCTCCTTCTTCTTCCTTCTTCCTTTTGCTTCCTAGTCTTGCTGCTGCTGCCTTGAGCAGGTTTCTTGAGAATCCTCGTTGTTTGAAAATCGTTTCACTGATTTTTGGAAGTATCGCTTTGTGTAAAGTCTTCATCGGAAAGCATCGGAAAGCAACAACACATGGCTAGTATATCCCCTTATATCCCCTGTATATCTCCGTCATATCCACAATGGGAATAGCCATGGAATGGAATGTATTCCATGAATTTGGTAGTAATGTATAACTAACAATATATAACTAACTACAGGTAACATAATGAGCAACACATATTTGTATGAAGCTCAACGGAGTACAACTATAACTTGCAATTGCTTTCCAGTTCTAGTTACATTTCCCTGTAAATATCTACAAGTAACACAGCAACAACTACATATAGGTTTGGGTCAAAAATTGGTACCCAACAAAAACTGGATGGTGAATGATTAAATAGATTTACTGTAAATCTATGGTCCCCCAAGGTCTTCAATTTTGACCCATACCCATAAAACTATTGTTATTTTCCAGTAGCAGGTCTTCTTTTTGGAGCACTTGCTGGTGACGCCCAACAAGTTCCGACCCATCACCTTGGGTGGCTCCGCTGAGATTTTTTGCTAACGGGTGAGTTGAAAAGATATGGAAAATGGTGGGAATATGGGAGATAAACGTCGAAGAATCGGCGGTATATCGACCATAATTCAAGGAAAACTGGGGAGATGGGATTTGATGATGGTTGATTAAAAATATTAAAAGAACACCTCAAACATATTCAAACATTGGGGATATAATGGGAAGATGGTGGAATAATGCGGTGGAATTGAAGGGAAATGGGGATAAATGATGGGATCTAGTGGGATGTAGAAGCAATTGTGGATGATTCAGGTGTGTTTCAATCTGGGCATCCCAAAACTGCAAAATGTGAGGGGTATCCCCAGTATCCTCCATTTTTGGACAAACGATGATCTTGAAAATCCATGGGAAAATCGAAACACATGGCAGAAGTTCATGTAATATGCGTTGAAATATGCGACATCGTGCAGCTATTAGTCGAGGTTTCCAATCTATGGCTACGCTGCTACGCCCCTACGCCCAGTCATGGACCATTGGACTATGTATCCCTCGACTTGGGGATCCCCAAATTCCAGCTCTCGGATGTATAAAGTGTTTCAGCACCAATACTAGGAAGTGAACCACAAGGGTGGGATGACATTCCCCTGGTTTGACTCTGGCACTTGCAGTATTTTGTTTACGCAAATCTATAATTAGATATGTATGATTTATAATATGATGTATGATGTATGTATGTATGATTACATACATAATATCAATAATATCTGTGTGTTAGTTATGTGTTTATTGATGTGCTTAGTTAATTATTTATTATATACAATCATATAGAAAATAGATACATATACCCATAGATTTTGTTCGATTCTCTTTAGCGTGCATAATAGATTCGTTTCATGCAACTCCTCAGTCGCACAGACTCTCTATCCGTATCGTGACGTCTAAACGTATTACTGCCACGCCAATTAGTTTTGGCCAAAGGTTTTGGTCAGAGAATTACGATGCTTATGTTGTTAATAACTGTTAATTCTCAACAATGTATGTTTATTGCTCTAATCATATCATCAGATCGTTATCTATCTGGTGAATTATGATGTTTCATGTTTCTCTTAGAATTATTTTTGTGCCATGGACGCGTATTGGACTAGATTAAGCCATGAATTGGCAGTATTTGGGGGCCATTCATCAATCTTCACAGGGATTTATGTACCCATCATGTTTGGATTCCCACTATGGGATGGGTGACCATAGCACCTTCATCCAATGTATATAACTTGACCATTGTTGATGTTTAGTCCATATTATCCCGAACACAATCCCTGTTGTTGAGGGTCAAATCCGATCGTTGTTTCCCATGTTTCATGAACCATGACACATGAAAAAAAAAAGTTGGATACTTATTCCCAATTACCATCCAGTAAATTAACATAGACCCTGCCAGATAGGGATTGAAAGATTAGCTTCCACTAAAGATTGGTGATTTTCAGGGTCTATGTTAATTTACCAAAGGGTATCTGAAATACCATTAAATCCCTGATCCTCAGATCACTAAATCCACATTTCATACTGCGAGGCACGGGAGGTGACAAGCTAAGACTCAATAAACATTCCGCCCACCTTCACGGCGCCTTGGATTCCTTGGATTCCGTGGATGTCTCCCATAAAAATGGTGATGACTGGGGCATGGTAAACATGACATTGTTTTACCCACATACCCACGGCGTTCTGAAAAGTGACTCCAGGATGGATATCATTCGCAGCTCTATTCTGAACATGGGATGATGGAAACACCCTGAGGCAGCACCCTTGAGATCACCTTACTTCCCCATACTGAACTTGTCTCAGCATAGCATGC